AGAGGAAGCGAAAGGGAAAAAGGATGAGGAAGAGGAAGAGCACCAAGAAATAATGTTGGAGAAGTTGGGGGAGATGACCAGGAATATTGAGGCACTGAAAAACCTGGCCTATAGTATGGACCCTCCATGGTGCATGCCCTGAAATTCATGCGAGGGATGGATGACGTTTTCGCTCCATACAAAAACATGATGGAAGAAATGAATGAAAGAGATGACAACTCCCCATCACCATGTTCTTTGATCACCGCAGGAGAGATTTAACACCATCAATCACTGGCGGCAGTGAGGAAGCAGCTGAATCCACCGTCGCCCCCACTTCACCACCCGTTATGGAATTGAGTGACGATGAGCCCGATGACCCCCGTCCTGTCGCCGAGGATAGGAACTGTACAGTAAAGTGAAATTTTTATCTCTTTTTTTTTAATAGCTTTTCTTCCCATGTTTATTGTTTGTAAAAATGCACAGCACAGTACAGTTCAGTACTGTACATAGGAAGTGGAGGTGCAGTTATTCACAAAACATTTGTGTTTGTTGTCGGCAGTAGTGACGGTGAGGAGGTGGAGGAGGCGCAGGAGGGAGCGGAGGGAGCGAGTTGGGAGGAGTGGTGACCTTGGACGCGGGAGCAGGGACGAGATGCCAGCCAGTACATTACGGGTGTATTAATTGTTTTTATAGCTATTTTTGCATTTTAATATTAAATACTGTACATTACGTTTCAACAAAACTACCATTTATTTCTGAGAACATGGAAATGTAATATTTTTGCTGAAATGATGTACATATTACAGTGGAAAGTGGGATAAAATTGTGACGAAAGCAATGACTTTCTCTTTCTTTCGTTCAAAGATGTTACCGTAATCGCTTTTCGAATGGTTTTCAGTTGTGGGATTATAAGGCTAATGATAGGCTAGAATATTATTGTAATACAGTACGAGTACAACAGTTTTTTAACTGAAAACCATTCGAAAGCGATTACGGTAAAATCTTTTGAATTACGAAAGAAAGCGAAAGTCATTGTTTTCGTCATGATTTTATCCCACTTTCCACTGTTATATGTTCGTCATTCCAGCAAAAATATAACATTTCTATATTTATTTCTGAGAATACGTATATTCATTCAGTCACAGTTAAGGTAAAATATACTCGTGATGTAATATTTTAATGAAAATGCGGTATCGTAGTTTTCTTTTGTTTCAAATTTAATTAACAAAGATTGATGTATCAAATGTAATGAACAAAAATTTATGTCCAGTATCTATAAATAAACTTTAATAAATGAATACTTTATGTTTTACATCGTCCTGTGCTACCATACCATGGATTTGGCTACTTTGGGCTTGCTATGATGACGCAAGAGATCTGCCCTGGCAACTGTACCGACATTCACAGCTGGTGGTGCGTTGGTGCATCGTTTCCATTGTTTACTGGTAGTTACTGGTAAATATTTTTCAACCTAACGAAACTATTACCCGTTTAGAGGTCGACCCCCAATTTTTTGCCAAATAATTTGGTTTTAAAAACTCGAACTACACACAGGTATATACGGTAAATAAGGACATGGGGGGGGGCCAGGGATTTTTAACATCCAAGGGTATCTCTGTTACGTAACCCCCGCATATGTTAAGGGCCGACTGTATAGAAAATCTAAAATGGGTGTCTCTTTTTCTTCTCAGTACCACAAAACTCTCACTTTTAAGCATGCCAGCCATTTTAAAGGGAATTACAAACGAAAATTTTGTCAATACACAGAGCAATCACTAACGTCGGGACTCGAAAATACGTAATTTGAAAACATTTTGGAACGACTGGGGCGGTCGTATGTCTGGGTTGTTGTAAGTCGAGTAGGTCATAAGTCGAGGAGTAAGCTGTATTATGATCAGTAAATATATGCATTATTGGCCATTTCGGACACAAAGGCAGGCTAAAAATAGCCCTCTTATCTCCCTGCCTCTTAAGTGTGGTCAGAAGGAAGCTTCTTGGAAAATAACTTCTTTTGTTTGTTTATTGTCATTGTTTGTCTATTTTATCATGTTGTATCAAAGTAATATTAATAAAAGTTGTGTGTGTGTGTCGCTGAGAACTTCTTATGAAGAGTAATGCAAATAAAATAGTCTAAATGAATTATTTATAGGGAATAAGTACTGTATTATGATCAGTAAATAAATGCATTATTGGCCAACTCGGACACAAAGGCAAGTTGGAAAATGGCCCCTACGTGCGTAGTGACAGCAAGCGCTCGATGCCAGAAAAAAAAATCCCCTTATTTGTCTCGTCACTGAGGCACCACGGAAGAATATAGAGGGGCAATGTATAGTTTTTCTTGAGTCTTTTTTACTGTTTTATCATTTATAAAGGTTAAAAATTATTTTTGGAAAAGTTAAGTTTTCTCATTTTACCCCGCGTTGGGGGTATGGCTAGCAGCACCGTATCCCGGGGCATAAGGGTTAAAAAAATTATTTTTATTTTTTTGCTGAAATAAGCCCACACAGTGGGTCCAGTGGGTCTTACATCACCTGGGGCATAAAGGTTATACTACAGTACTATATGTGAATTTCCAATTTTACGACAAATTGGAAGTTTTGGTCTCTCATATGCACAACTTCCCATACTAGAACTTCAAGAACCTTCCACAGTTTTTGAGATAAGCCACAAAGATAATTTTCAGCATGTGACTTCTGTGCAGGCGGTTATAAGTCTAGGACATGTGCAAATGAGACCTCACCCTATTGTACAAATTGTTCCACTCTTGCAGTACCACCTGAGTCAAGTCAGTCATTTTGTGCCAAGTAAAGATTGCCCTAAGATAACTTCACATTGTAAAAACCTAATTGTGAACACCAACTATACTCATTCAAAAAAACTTGTAGTGCCTTCTTTGGGCCTATTAAGAATGTCTGCTTAATATCTGTGCGATCCAAAACAAAATGTGTCATGTTAACAAGTTTATCAAGGAATTCAGCTTGGATATCCTCTGAGTAACTGAAACATGGTTAATATGAATCAGACATCAACATTATATTGTACATAGTGCTCTTCCTAAGACACATTCTCTTGTTTATGTTCCCAGACCTGCTGCAGGAGCTCCAGGTGGTGGAGTGGCACTGATTTATTCTGTGGCTCTGCTCAACATCAGATGATTAGTACAGGTTGTACCTCTCTAGTCCGGCATTCTGTGGTCCGGAAACTCCCGTGGTCTGGAACGATTTTAGTTTGTCCAATAGGTAGATAGGCAGCTTTTTTTTTTTTTTTTTTTTCCTTATCTGAATTATTATTATTATTACAGGAGTATTAAATTTTTGCCCCTCAGGCCCCAATGTGGGTCAGTGACCTATGCCCGGGTGGGCTAATCCCCTTAAAAAAAAAAAAAAGCCGCGGGAAATTAAGGTTTGTTTACATCCGGCAGTTCGGCTGCTCTCTCTCTCTGCTTGTCTATACAGAGTACAACATTTAACCCTTCAATATATATGAGCAGTAAATAAGTGTTGCTTTCATATTCTTATGTAGAGTAATGACGATATATTTTCACATGTGCGCACTTACATACGAGCAGTCTCACTTTTTTTTTTACCATTAATGGTTAGCTACTTATATTGTTCCATTTATTAACATTAAATAACATTACAGGTACTTCAAGCAACCATATTCATTTTTTACATTAATTTTACTACAGCTAAACTCAGGGTCTTATTTTCTTCAGTTTTATATGTAGAACCAATCAGTCACTGGTTTCGTAAGCTTTAACATAAACAATGCCGGCAGCCGTCTCGTCTCCTCTAATATTCCACGTATTATTAATAAATTGTATTGTTAATTTTGCACACACGTACATTAATTCAATAAAAACAAATTCAGAAACATTAATTAAAATATATATGAACAGTAAATAAGTGTTGCTTTCATATTCTTATGTAAAGTAATGACGATATGTTTTCACGTGTGCGCATGCGCACTTACATATGCGATCTCTCTTTTTCTTTACCATTATCGTTAGCTACTTCTATTGTTCCATTTATTAACATTAAATAACATTACTTAAAACAACCATATTAATTTTACTACAGCTACAACCAAGGTCTTATTTTCTTCAGTTTTATATGTAGAACCAGTCAGTCACTGGTTTTGTAATCAACGAAAACAATGCTGTGTCATTTCCTCATGTGTTTTAATTTTCTACGTATTATTAATGAATTGTATTGCTCATTTTGCACACATAAACATTAATTCAATAAAAAAGACATTCAGTAATAAACAATAATGAATCTTTTGTACATAAGAGAAATGACGCTGTTTACACGATTATGCACGTCGTCTGCACGTTGGCGGGCCGTTCAAACCCGTCGAAATTCAAGTTTCCGCCGTCAAAATTTTTATTTATTTATTTTTTTGTGTGTTCCAATAAAATACGTTAAGAATTAAAAACTCGCGAAATTTGAGAAGCTACTATACGACATTTAACCCTTCAATATGTCTTCAAAGAGACCATGACGCAGAGAAAGTGGTGCTAGTGCTTCCAGGCATAAGCACAAGTCACTATCTATCCAGGAAAAGGGTGAATTTCCATGGTCCGGCAATTTCCATGGTCCGGCACCGGTCAGGTCCCGAGGTTGCCGGACTAGAGAGGTACAACCTGTAGTAACTGTTTTTTTTTCCTTTGAATTTATGGAGGCATTAATAAATCTTCAATGCCAACTCATTAAGATTGCTGCTGTTTATGGTTTGGGTCATAGATACATATATGGGTTTCATGGATGAATTTGGCTTGTTTCTTGAAACTCAGGAAAAACCGGAGAACAGTTGATTTATGGTGACTTTAATTATTGGGCTGACAACCCATCTCTGAAACCTTTTTTCTTTGAGTTCTTGGAAAATCTCAGTTTAAAAAAAATTGTGAATCATGTGTCATGTCCAACACATCTTTCTGGACAAACTCTAGACCTAGTTTTGTCTTTGCTGATTGCTAAGGTACGAATATTATTTGTCACTGGACAGTATAATCTTACCAACTGATCCAGCACCAGTGTAGGCGATGAGACAGCGTCCTGTTGACAGTTCCCACAACTTGACAACACTGTCTAAGCCTGAGGACAGGATGTACTAGAAAAAAGATAAGTATTTTATCAAAATATGAAATCATACATAGTTCACTATAAATAATACATTCTTAACCCATAGAATACAGTTTTTTTTTTTTTTTTTTTTTTTTACAAAACTAGACATGAATGCATAAGTCTCAAAATTGATACACTAAATCCTTTATCTACTTTTTTTTTGTGCTGTAAGGAAAATGAAAATGAATGTGTGAAACTGAGTGACTCGAGTGTGTAGCAGGGGAAGAAGGAGGAGCTAGAGGTGAGGGAGGTGGTACAAGGCTGCCAATAATATGTTTTCAAATTTATACTTCACAAACACATTTCTCATTGAACTACACTTCCCTAGTGTACCACATGAAGTACAGTACAGTAAACCCTCGATAACTTGGCATGGATATGGTCTCGGAATGTTTTAGTACAGTAAAACTCGGGAAATGCCAAGAGGTGTAAAATTATCTGGGAAAATCTCGGCATATCTGGCTACCTTCAACACCTACCATGCATCTGTGTCACCAACTCAATGATTCACTCTTTGCCTGCAGTGCTGGTAAGTATTACGTTTTTCCATTTAGTAATTACATGTACACAAACAGTACAGAGCTGCCTCACTTATCGCAAAGGTTACGGGCATGAAACCCGTTGCAAATATCGAAATTGCGAATAGCGGAGCAATTTCTCCCATAATAAATAATGTAAATAGGGGGGATACGGGCATCGCGGTGGTCATGGCCGTCAGATTTTAACACTTGTTTTACTCAATACATATACTGTAGAACATAAAATAAATAAAGAAACAAGGGCATAATATCAAATAAACATCAATAACAAACACTTTGAGTTTTTAGGTGTACAGTGGTCCCTAGGTTAACGAACACAATTCGTTCCAGAAGGTCGTTCGTAAACCGAAACCATTGTTTCAATGGGATTTTGGGTAATTGGTTCCAGCTCACCGAAAATTACATACAACGTAAAAAAAATGCAGTAAAGTACACTTACTTTGAGGTATGTATGTAGAAGGCTCCTGGTTGTTGATGATGATGATGATGATGATGATGGGAATTAGAAGTGGGGGTGGAAGAGAAATCACCCCATGCTTCATGCCGTCATTTCACCCATAAAATTTTAAGTTCACTAGGTGTAATTCAAGATTATTTTCTTTAAATCAACACTGCACTACACTATATATTGTCAATATGTTAAATAAATTTCAGAATAACCAATAATTGTACAGTATAGTCTGCATTTACGCGGTGTTTGTTTACGTGTTTGGTCATTTACACGGTGCCTTGCCAGAATGAAATGTTTGAATTACGCGGTAAATTTCATCATTCACGCGGTGAGCAGCTGGAGAGGTCCAAGCCCTGCGCCATTTTGTATTCACGCAGTCCATGCTTGACCATACGCGGGACGCGGCGCGGGTGTGGGTGCGCAGTATGTCGCTGTTGCGTTATCGCTGACATCATATGACGTATCGGACTGTAATTGGGCCACGCATCCTTACATTCCTCCCCCGCTAGCTGAGATTGGTTTAATGTAATATGACGTGGCCAGCCACGGGTGAGGAGAAGCTACTGACCTAGCTGGGCCAGTCGCATTATTCTCAGTCACCGCGTATATTACTCTCTCTTGTGCCCACTAATCTGTTCAACAATGGCTTCCACTGGAACCCCAGGAAAACCTTGAACTACCTGGTCCAAGCCGCCCCAAGCCTAAGAAAATACGACGAGCTTTAAGCTATGAAGTTAAATACAAAATCGTGCAAGAATTGGAGAAAGGAACGAGATAAGTTGATTTGGCGCGCCAGCATGGCATGAACAAATCTACGATCCGGACGATCAAGAAGGATGCCGCCAAGATAAAAGAACACATGAGCATCACAAAGTCTGCAGGTGCTTCAATGGTGAAGTATTGTCAGAATAAGGTGCTGCTCATCAAGACTGAGAATTTGCTGGTGAGCTACTTGATTCGTCAGGCAAGACGTGACATGGCGGTGGACACGCGGGCAGTACAGGAGTATGCCCGTGAACTGTACGTAACAGTGGCGCGCAAGATGGGAATTGCAGAGCCCAAACCCTTCACTGCTTCCTCTGGGTGGCTGCAAGGGCTTAAAAGACGTAACAAGATTACAAACATAAACATTGTTGGTGAAGGTGCTAGTGCTGACCGTGTTGCACCGAGTGATTTTCCTCCATTCTTATGAGAAGTTATGGAGGAAGGACAGTACACCAATGACCAGGTGTTCAACATGGATGAATCCGGTCTGTTTTGGAAAAAGTTACCTTCCAAGACCTTCGTTGTCAAGTCTGCCAGCCAGTGTTGGGGCCGGAAGTTGCAGAAGGAGCTCATCACCGTCCTGTTTACCAGAAATGCCTCCGGTACCTGCAAGCTCAAGTTATCGGAGATCCACACAGCCCGCAAGCCGCACGCCTACAAGAACATGGACATGACCAAGCTAAATGTCCACTGGCTAACCGCACGTAAGGCGTGGATGTTCGCTGGTCTGTCCCTCTCCTGGTTTGACGACTGTTTCGTTCCCGACGTGAAGAAATTCTGCGAGCAATTCAACATTTTGTTGCTCCTTGACAACGCACCAGGACACTCGCCCCTACTGTTGGATCGTCACCCCAACGTAAAAGTGGTCTTCGTTCCCCCTAACACTACGTCATTAACACATCCCATGGATTAAGAGTTAATATGTAATGTTAAGGCTGCTTTCTCTGCAAACAAGTTTCGGCTAATTAATGACTTGACCAACACCAAGGATGAATTGCAGAACCTGAATGGCACCGATAGCGAGAGCGAGGATGAGGATCGAGAACAGGAGTTGGCGGAGCATGAAGTTCGCGTCAAACAGTTTTGGAAGAAATTCAACATCAAGAAAGCTGTTGATTTCTTGGTGGAGGCACGGGGGCAGCTGTCTGTGGCAACGATTCGTCACACGTGGCGGCATGTGTTGCAAGGTATCCCAGGTGGGAGGCAGAGGCAACCTATGACTGGTGAAGTTCAGTCTGTTGCAGTGGCAGTGGACCTTGCAAGAGAAGCTGCACAGTGTTACAGCTGCAGGCTTCTCAGAGACCACTAACGACAACATCATGGAGGTGATCAGGGATCCTGAGGTGACTGCCGACGAGATGGTGGAAGATGATGACGTCAGTGAGGAGGCAGGTGGTGCGGCAGCACGAGAACAGAAGTTAACACATGGTGATGTAAAGGATGCCATCGAGTTTGCAGAGAAACTCAAGCTCATCCTTTCCAACGACCCTCTCAATCACCGATATGAAGTCTTCAATAACCATCTAGACCAAGGTATGGAGCAGTACATCAAGATGTATCACGACCACATCAACACCGACTTCTTCGCCCGCAACCCACCACAGCCAGCCTAAGTCAGTGATAGTGACAGTGATGGTGACTTTGAGGGGTTTGTCAGGGAGGCCCTGATATCTGTGGTGGATAGTGATAGTGATTCACCTGAGGGCCACTAATCAGCCCTCTGCCTCGGAACCAGCCCCCATCCACGTTTGCCGACCCATCTCTTATACTAACGTAAGTGTTAAACCTTGATTTTTCTTTTACCTGGTGCAGTATATTATTCTCTTATTGATATTTATCTTCTATATTATGTGTGTGTGCATACCATCATAAAATTAAGATACTGTACTATTTTTACTACAATGTACGTATTGTGTCGGAAAAAGTGGAGTTTGGGGGTCGGCCCAGTCTCTATTTCAATTAATCCCATATGTTCTGTTATTTCATTTACACGTTTCTCGTTTTACGCGGACCTCCACGGGTTCAATTGACCGCGTAAATGCAGACTACACTGTACTGTAAAAACGTAAAAATACTCTGTGTTCAAGAGACCTACAAGCAAGATATTTCCTCCACTGAACAGAGATACAAACTGAGCCCTTGGTGGGTGAGTGAAGTGGCTGATGGGGGCACCAAAAACTAGTTCCCTGTACTGCAATTATTCTAAATAAGTGTTAAAATGACTAAAAAATTTAATATAAAACTTGGAAAATTATTGAATAATACAACCATCTTGATATTTACTCCAATTTTAACGAATGTAAGCCCTAGAACCGATTTCTGTATTGGCGGACTAATCTTCTAGCTGGTGAGCAAGCCAAAGAATGTCAAAACATTTTCATAAGAATTTCGTAAACCGAATTTCTGTATATTAACCGAAATGAAGATTCTTATGGAAGGTAATTCGTTAACCGAAATTTCGTTAACCGAGGCGTTCGTTAACCGAGGGACCACTGTACAGTATACAAAGGTACTTTACATGTTTGAGTGTGTAAGTGTTTGAATGTTTATGTGCGTAGGTGTGTGAGGCAAGTTTTAAACGTAAACTGTTAAATTACCTCTGATGTGCTGTGTTGCTTGCTTGCTGAAGTTGGCATTAGGGGAGACGGTGAAGGTTTACTGGGGCAAGAGGAGGCTGGGGTCATCAGCCACCTCACTGCCAGGGTTGTCAACCACTTCACTCTCATCATCACTGCCAGGGTTGTCAGCCACTTCAACTCATTATCGCTGTCAATTTGCACTGAAAGCTGTTGTTCTCCACTGGTTGAAGGCTGTGGTTCACTCGTTGAAGGTTGTGGTTTTACACTGATCTTGAACAGCTGCCTAAAAGCTGTGTTCTGTTTGGATGTACGTGGGGTGGTTGGTGCACTGGGGGTTGAAGGCTTGGCCGTGATAAATGCATCGAGTCATTGTTGTGCATTCTTCCTCTTCTCCTCAAGCACCACGTAGTATGCTCGTATGTCTTTCTTGACATTGCGGATGATAGTGCAATTTCGGTCATCATTAGGGTCCATTTCTAATGCCATATCCATCGCCATCTCAAATGAAGAAATCAGCTTCCTTAGGTTCTGTAAAGTGAAGAGTTGTGTTGGAGTTTCATCTGCATCTTCTCCCGTTGCAAGTGGCATTTCTTCCTGCTGAAGCCTCTCCAGTTCTATCAGGTCTTCATTTGTAAGGTCTTCATTGTGAGAGTCGAGGAGATCGTCTACGT